ATGCTGTTCAGTTGCTTTGACACAATCTGTATTGTTAAAAGTGCTATATAAATAAAGGTGACTTGACTTGACTTGACACAAGAACCTTCAATATCTCCGAGATGCAAAAAGACTCAATCCTCGCAAAGCCCGCTGGGCACTGTTCTTCACCAGGTTTCACTTCACCATCACCTACCGGCCTGGCAATCGTAACTGTAAGGCGGACGCATTGTCACGAATGCATTCACCAGATTCACCCTCAGAACCTGAGCCAATTCTCCCTCCAGCGCTGATTGTAAGTCTCATTGTGTGTAATATCGTCAAGGACATCCAAGCCGCCACTCTCACCGAACCGGCTCCGCTGGGAGGCCCAGAAGGGAAGACGTATGTTCCCACATCTCAACGACAACCCCTTCTGGGATCAGTTCACAAAGTACCGGGCTCTGGACATCCAGGCAGCCAACGGACCCTCCACATCTCAACGACTACCCCTTCTGGGCTCAGTTCACAATGTTCCGGGCTCTGGACATCCAGGCAGCCAGCGGACCCTCTCACTCCTCCAAGCTCAGTATTGGTGGCCCAGTATGTCCCGTGATGTCATCAGGTACGTTCGAGGGTGCTCAGTCTGTGCCATGTCTAAATCGCCTCGTCACCTCCCCGTAGGCAAGCTCATGCCACTACCCATACCTCAGCAACCGTGGTCTCACATGGGAATTGACTTCGTAACTGACTTACCCAACTCTGAAGGCAACACCTGCATCCTAGTGGCAGTAGATCACTTTTCAAAAGCCTGCAGACTGATTCCCCTCAAGGGATTACCCACGGCGCTAGAAACTGCCGAATCTCTATTCACACATGTCTTCAGGAATTACGGAGTCCCAGAGGATATCGTCTCGGACCACGGGCCGCAATTCATTTCCCACGTTTGGAAAGTGTTCTTTCGACTGCTAGGGGTCACAGTGAGCTTGTCCTCCGGTTATCATCCCCAGACTAACGGCCAGACTGAGCGCAAGATCCAGGAACTCGGGCGTTACCTCCGGGCATACTGCCAAGACGACCAGCACAGCTGGGCCTGCTTCCTCCCATGGGCCGAGTATGCACAAAACTCCCTCCGACAAAACTTCACGCCTTTCCAGTGCACACTTGGCTACCAACCCCCACTCTTCCCGTGGACCGAAGGACCATCAGAGGTTCCAGCTGTGGACTACTGGTTCCGAGCGAGCGAGAGAGTGTGGGACTCAGCTCATGTCCAACTTCAACGTGCAGTGCGGAGGCACAAAACATTTGCTGACGCCCGGCGTTCCTCGACTCCCACTTACCAGCCTGGAGAGAAAGTATGGCTGTCAACCCGGGATCTGCGCCTCCACCTGCCTTGCAATAAGCTGAGTCCCCGTTACATGGGTCCGTTCCTGATACAGAGGCAGATTAATGAGGTCACCTACCAGCTCCAACTTCCACCCAGGTACAGAAGTCACCCTACTTTTCACATGTCCCTCCTTAAACCCTTCTCTCCTTCTGCACCAGAACCCACGGAACCAGATGAACCTCCTCCTCCAGAGATCCTAGAACAGCCATCCATCTATCAGGTCAAGGATATCCTGGATTCGCGGCGGCAGGGCGGCCGGCTGGAGTACCTGGTAGATTGGGAAGGATATGGACCAGAGGAAAGATCCTGGGTGGTCCGGGACGACATTCTTGGCCCCATACTGCTAGAAGAGTTCCATCGGACCCATCCTAATCGTCCCGCACCCAGAGGCCGTGGTCGCCCCCGTCGCCGCTTAAGGGCGTCAGGAGCCGCCCCTGGAGGAGGGGGTAATGTCAGCGAATCACCCCAATCACCAGCCACAACTTACACCAGATCACGCTCACCTGAGTTCTGATTCCCCGCACCTGTCGTCTGCAATCAAGTCATCATTCATAAGCACGCTACTTCCAGTCAACATCCGGTCTACCGTTCACTACACTGAACTTAACCAGACTCTCTGAATGCTACTTTACCTGTTTATACTTACCCCTAGATCCCCGAAGTTCTTCCTACGTTGCTGTCCTCCACTCCTGGATCCTGAACCCTCCACTAACCTGAAAAGGAACCAAACATCAGTACTCAGCTAAGATTCATTGAACTGTCATTTGTGTTGGATACTCACCAGTCATTGTTCCAGTCGATCTGCTTCAGTCATACCTGTTAATAAACCTGCTATTCATTCACTTACCTGTTGTCTCCGGCTTGATGTGTGACAGATACATCGTTAGATGGCATCTACGCTAATATTAGTCTGTTTCTTTCTTATTCCGAGGTCACCGTAGCCAACAGATCCAGTCTGTATCCAGATCAGATGGTGCATCAGCACCTAGAGATAACCTTGACAGCCCTGAATGTCAGTGGTGACCAGGAATACTAGATGAGCCCCAGAGACAGATCCCCTCCGAAGACCTCATCATCTAGACAGCCATCGGGACAAGACCACGGGAACCAGATGAGTCCTCTGCACAATCCGACTTTGTTGCTAGAATTCAACTGCTGGTCTCATCTGGCCAGAGGAGAACGGCACACTATTTTTACTCACTATTTCCCTTTTTAATACTGTAAAGCTGCTTTGACACAATCTACATTGTAAAAAGCGCTATATAAATAACGTTGACTTGACTTGACTTGACTTGACTCAAATACCTAAGTGTAAATAGTGTTAGATGCTGTTTATATATAGTGCAAATACTGGAAGACACTATTTGCACTTCAGTGTATTGTAATACATTGAATATTTTGTTATTGAAAACTATTTTGTAGTGTATATTTATTAAAGTCATAAATGGATGGAACCTTACTTGTCCCTATCCCTAAAGGCCACCCTTACAATGCTAACTTAAACCTTATTCAACCAGTAAATATGTCCTCAAAGATACAGGAAGAGAGCCACGATTTTAAGTGTGGTAGCAATATGAGCTGCACGCATCCAGTTGGTGGCCAGCCCATCGGATCAATGTGAGGACACCACATCCAGTTTCAATTATAAGCCTATTAAATAATCGTTAGGCACATTATTCCCACTATTATACATCCGTTAGGCACTTTATTTCCACTTTTTGCATATTTTCTTTATTTTTTATTTAAAATAAACACCTCTCCGAGCTGATATGCAACAGGAATATGGCGAAGAATTAGATTGGAAAAAGGTGGATATAAACACCTTTGGGTCTGTCACGTCAAAAGCTAAGTATACTGTCTGTAATTAGCGTAAATGGCCTTTGCTAAAAAGACAAGCTATTTGCACTTAGTGTAAATACACAGCCCATTTTATAGTTTACAGACACTGTAATTTTACTGTATATTTTAAACATGAACATGTCTAAATGTGAATGTGTTGATAGCGTAGATTATTCAAAAATAGCTTACTCCAGGAGTTTCTTTACATGCTCTCGTTCATGCATGCTGTTCTGGAGATCTATTTTCAGAGTCTTCACCTCTTCCATCAGGCCTGTAAAAACATCAAGAACAAAAAGCGGTCAAGTACCCTGTTAAAAGTCAAAAACAGGACACCACATACCTTTAACAGGCTGCAGTGTTGGTCAGGTGACTAGGATATGCTTCAGGAAACTAATGTTGAAAGATATGTGCGCCATAATAAATCCAACTTGGTTCAACATCTACTGTTGGCAAAAGTTAAAAACAGATTTTTGTTTCACTGTCTTTTGTCACTTGCTATAAATGTTCATCTGGGTTTCTTCCCTCATTCATCTGTTTCCTCCTGTGCCAATAAATGTAACTCTCTCTCTCTCTCTCTCTCTCTCTCTCTCTCTCGCTCG